TTCTGCGCTAACGCTACGCTAACAGCTAACGCACTTTTGTGCCCTTTGTGCGTAGCGTTAGCGCAGAAAGGTGGATTTTTCGCTAACGCTACGCTACAAAGTAGCGCATTTCCGCTGCGCTACGCCACACTAACGCTACGGTTAGCGTAGCTGGCCCAGCGTTGCTACAGTGCATTCAATCCAAAATTCAATCTGTTCTGATAAATTCCATTTAGGCCAGAGTGCTAATTTTGACTTAAGGCCTAAGTCCCTCCTTTGGAGGGTCCCTGTGGGACAGCAACATCCCCTGTCTGATTTCAGAGGGACTTTGATAAGTTAGGCTTTTAACCCAGTGGTTCTTTTTTATTTGTCTGTCATGCCTCCCAAAAGCCATACTCAAAACCATAAATATGGGTTTAAGTGAGGCTTATTCACCGTTTTATACCTATAAGAGGTCCCTCAAGTACCTGTAGCATCTAGTTTGAGCGCTTAAACAATGCTGCAAGGTAAGTTTTTGCCATTTTTTCAGCTCAAATGGGCTACAAACTCCTGCAAACCATTGTGGGTGTTAAAACAGACCCTTTTTTCACAAACCTTTTTGGCCAATGTATGATTAATTCTTAGGCACCTATCTTTGTTTTGACTCCTGAACGTGCCCCTCCTGAACATCTCTTTCACATCTTGATCCAGCACTGCCGTGTGGTGTTAGCCAGCTTAACTTCTAGCAGTCCATCTGATATACTTACCCGCGTCTATATATCTTCTTACCCAGAAATCCCAAGTCGATTATTAGTAAAAAGTGTTTCAAGAAAATCTCACCCGAGCAAGAGCTTTGTTGTATTGGTCTGCCAGCGCACACCTGTCAGCTTTTGCTTCCATAGAAGGATGTAATGATTAAATAAGAAAGTAACTCATTGCCCAATTATATAACTGCACCGCACCAATGTTACTCCTCTACCACCCATCACTTTGGGCTCAACATCGGGCTTGAGCGTTGTCTGTCGACACCGCCAAAGCAGAATCAAACCTACATCATCTCTATAATGTTCAGAAGGGCTTTGAATACTTCTCCAGAGGCAATTATTCTTGGATTGCTAGAGATGCAAAGTTCTACAGGTTCAAACTTGGTCACACCTAATCCGCCTCTGGCACAATTGGCCAGATAAATTTTTCCGCAGGCATCTACACATCCATATCGCTTCATATCTATCTCCGTTGACACTCAGTTCAATTGACTGAAAATGATCCTGTGAACTCTACACCACGGGTGCAAGAAAAGTTCTTGTGAACCAGATCTCCAACTTTTTTGAAAAAGTTGGTTGACCAAGTGGTTCGCTCAACTTTCTGGCTCGAGAAAGTTTCGAGAAACGTTTTCAGCCGGTCCTCTAACCTTTTC